ATACTTATTTGGCTAGTAAGTTTTCCGCTTTCTCGCTCCTGATTTCATTAAGGGATCCGCATAATTCGCAATTAAATGATCGGTACTTCTTGTCTAATTTTTCGGCCAACAACTTCTGTGTGTTTTTCGGCCAACAACTTTTGTGTGGTTAGTTCCTCATATTGATAGCGAAACTCCATAGGAAGTAACACCATCATTTGCCTCTATTGATCTCCATATCACAATTATAATGCTTAAAATAGTTTTAGTAGAAAAAGTCCCATAAACAATTTTATAGAATGATCCTAACGAAATTCCTGGTTTTCCCCTCACTAATTCTACCCTACCACTAACTATTTTTTGGTTAAAATTTTAAAAAGCTACAAAAATTTGTTCAACAAAATTAGAGTTAACTATTCAACAATATAATTACCTTCCTTTTTATTACACAAGAATACGGTATTAGGTCACTGCTAGCATGACTCGAGGAGCAAAATACAGTTTCTGCAGAAGATTCAAAGCCGAAGAATTCTTCTTCGTATTTGTCCACGTCCTCCATAACTGTTTTGAAAGAATGCTTTAGTTCACGAGTCTTTTTCCTACTGCGTGGCCTAGAAAGACCAGTCGGTGACCGCAGTTTGATCCTTCTGTGAACGAATACAATGCAGAGACGGAAACGCTAATGTGATTTTTAATCAACTTTTTTCTTATAAATAAGATAACAACAACTAGCATACTTTAAAACGAAATGACGCTCCAAAAAATTCCGTATTTTACAGAAAGAAATAATGAAACCTTACAGTTTGTTGTTCATTTCTACAAGGCTTTTACTCAGCCCGTCAACCTGTTCATAGTAAATCATTTGAGTTTTACGTTTCCAACTAGGAACATTTTTCTTCTTTACGTTCGATATGTTATTATCAGGCTTTTCGTACTTTCCGATGTGAAGACTGTTTTTTTGCTTTTTCCTCTTTCGTTTAAGCGGGTTTGGTTCACTGAAAAAAAGAAACGCAAAGTAAATGAAGAAATAAAAGCTTGTAACAAAAAAGCAAAAAAGAGAAGGCTTCTAAAAACAATTTTGTATTATTACCTGGTGAAAGATTTGTAACTGCTAAGTTTTGTAAACTTATGTACTTCTTCTCTGTTTAAGACGGTGTGTAATTCTCGTATTTTGCGGAAATTGTTAAACCCTATAGAGTCGTTTAGGTGCACAGAATCTACTCCACGTTCACTAGTGGTTGAACCGTTTCGGATATACAGAGCTAGCGAAACCCGGACACCAGAATCCGGATCCTAAATCAGAACCCTCATTAAGCTATTTCAAGAAGTTCGGAATTACCGCAACATACAGCAAAAGTTTAATTAAAGTTTTACTTGAAGGCTTCTGATGTTGTCACACAGAGCACTTATTAGACGCCATCTTCCTTTTTTGTTCTCAGAATATGCCACTGTAGAACTTTCTATTCCAAAAGAATCCTCGAAAACCAAAGAAGACAAACACATACCCTAAACAATCCTGCGTTTTCAGCGAATTAGAGATCAACAAAATGAAAATTAGTAAAGTGTAAGTACTTCCTCCTAATTAAGTTGCAATACGGATACAGAATAAATTTTCTATCCAATAAGAGAAAGATTTCAATTTGCATAATCCCAGAAATTTTCTTCAGAAGTACTAGAGCTAACACATAATTCTCTGATAAAGCAATAAACTTTCATTTAGCTAAAAATAAAGGTTATAAAACCTTACTCGATTTCTAATTACTTCGCCACTGGCATCATCAATATAAATGGGTACCACCTCATCGCTGTCTTCAATATAAAGATACTTTCTTACCAATGGAGGACCACTCTCCCTAAAAAATGGTTGGTTGAAAAAGTGAAGCTAACTCTGCATAAAGCAAAAATTGTCGCAAAATAAGTTGTGTATCTATCTAAATCATTTGTGTACCAACATCCATCTCCGACGATAAATTTCAGTTCCTTTTTGTGGTCTATTCTGCATACACTTCAAACTACAATCTCAGTCGTCGCTTAACATCGTTGCGACAGATAACGCTAAACCAGCCTGTATTAGTAGAAGTAAAGAAGCTAAGCTTCATATCGCTTGAGTGAAGCCCAAGTGTTACGAGACCAAGGAAGCCAAACGACATATTACGTTACTACTATCACAACATCTGTGAAACTACTGTTTGCTCAATTTTAAAGTTACGGAAGAAATAATTAATTGGAAAAGTGTCGTCTGGTTGTAAACAGCGGTTAGCCAAGAAAAAAGTTTAAAGATAAAATTAGTACTAAAAATGCGAATGAGAAATTGTAAGGTAATATTTTTTACTTCTAAAAAACTAAAAATTTTAAAGAAGATTGTACGTTAAACATGTCGTTTTCTGCCATTTGAAATTGGTGTTAACGGATTATGAGAGGCATAAGCCACAAAATATAACAACTTTGCTGCTTACAACATTTTGAGAATTTTTTGAAGAGAACAGGTTTGGATTTAGGACCAAAAAATTTATGAAATGTCTGTTAATTTTCTAGCAAAAAAATACTCAAATTTTACAAAAAAATGTTAGCAAATAAAAAAAACGTGGCAAAACAAGCGCTAAAAAACCCATTTGTAAAAAGTCTGAAAATGCAAAACTAAAAAAAAAAATAAAGACTAAAAAAAAAGAAAGATAAAACCTAGCTATTTGATGAAGTATATCCACGAGAAAAATAAGATTCGTTACCTCGTTCACATTACTCGTCAATATTTATACATCTCCGAACCACCGGACCATAAAATTGCACACAGTTGTGTAATTGCCGATGATAACAGATGAGTGAGTCATCACTCAGCTAAGAAAACGGGTATTGAGAACGTGCACGGACCAGATTTTTTCTGACCTGCAACTGGAAATCATAAGAGTTTATTGTATGAGATCAGTCACGACTTAGTTCGGTTGAAGGCATAACGTCCATTGTGTTTTTCAGAGAAAATAGAAGAGATACGGATGTGGAGCCGTCTGCTCAACTGTCAACAGTCCTGTGTTTCAGCGCTTCTAGTTCATCTTACCTGTAACAAGTAATTTATCAAGAACAAAACTGACACTAATCCAGGATAACAAATGCACAAGCAATACGTTCTCAAAACGAAACCAATTTCTCAGTCTATTGGACTACTACGTTTCCACTATGCGGCACTAAAACTGGCTTCAATTACCCCAAAATTATTGAAAAAAAAGAAAAAACAAATTTTAGCAACTGCTGCAGTAAATTTTTTACACGACACCAAAAAGTGTTACGACGGTGTGAAAATGTTGTTGCAAGCAAGGAAGATTTGAAGAGCAGAATCTTTTACAAAATTTTGCAAAATTTCTCAAAATGTTGACCCAATTATCGTCTCCAACCAACCACAGAACTTCTTCAACAAGGATTTCAACTCTAACGTTATTTGGCAGTTTTTAAAATCAAACACAAGTGAACTGGAAAATATCTTTTCGAGAACAGTCGATGAGAGTTTTTACACTTTCAGTTGAAATGGTTGATAGGAAGGGAAAAAAGTAAGAAGCATGAGATGTGTAAATGAAGGCTGCATCTTTTGCCTGCCTCTCCGCATCTAGAAGTCTTCTTTAACTCAAGCGGTTCTTTGCAACCCTGTACAATTGAAAACCATCACTCTTAAACATGCTTAATGCTTTTCAGACTCCTTAAAATCTTAAAAACTTATAAAAGCTTTTAGTAAACTATTTGCATTATCTGTTTTGCTCTTACACTTAGCTCTATCGTAATGTGAGGTTCCTTTCTTTCAAATTGTCTTGCCGATGAAAAAAGTATATAAAAAAAGTACATGAAAAAATTTTTTTTTGCGCTGGTTGGCTATCCTAACTATTCGGTACCTCCACTATTAATATATTTTTCATATTTCACGCTAAAATGAAGCAAACTTGGCTTGAACCTACCTAAATGTAAGCCGAAACAGTCAGTTAAAAACCACGCAATTCTACCGCACTTCAGTCACTTCAGTCGTATGATGCGGCGTCAAATGAGACGAGTTTGGATGAAAATTAAACCACTTGAGAGAAAGACAAAAATAAAGTTTTTGCCAATATACATCACATAGTTGTCTTTTGCTGCTAAATTGCAGTTATTTGTTCACTTTCTTCTTGTATTTGCATAAATTGTAAAGTAAGGTCAGTATTAGATTGCTGAAGTAAACAATTCTTAAAGCAATTCTATCTGCTCGGCATCTTAATATCGCTACTGTAACAAAACCCTTTCAAATCGAGCAAATAAAATATTAGTAGTGATTAGTTAAATGGGAACAAGTAAAACCTATAGACAGTTAACAAAAGTTTTCCGCCTAAAATTTTCGAGTTTCAGAAATAACTTTTTCACCTAGTTTTAAATATCCCGTTTATTTTTCTCGCCATCAACAATAATTTACTGGAGCGAATGATTCGCTGCGCTTCCAGTAAAAAATTCACATTGTTTTTTTTTTCACATCTTTTTTGGAAGTACCTGCTACAAGAATAATATTTCAGTTTCTCAACTTATCAATTCTGAAATTCCTGACAGACATGAATACTTACAAATACTTCAGTAAGTTTCAGTTAGATTATATGAATACTGTTCTGTGTCTCGTAAGTCGAAAGAGCAAAAAATAATACTTAGGGTTTATTTGCTTATGACTAGAGCATTAATTTTTTTATTTTTTGCTAATCAACATTAAGCAATAGACAGTACCAGGAAAGGCATATTTCATTTTTTTTGAGAATGCATCGTAGATTTCTATATTAGCATCTGTTTTTTGTATTTTAAAAGGGGGAATTAAACTGCACATTTAAAAAAGAATTATATGTCTGGGACAGCATAGCAATGTGTGTAAAAGACCCCGTTATAAAACAAATAGCTCTCTGTAGTCAGTCATATAAATTTGAAAAACTTTGCGAGAAGTCATTTGAAACACTGCACTAAAAGTAACACCAAAGCTGCCAGATGACGAGTGGCGCTCAAGTACAGTCTGCTTTCTAAGTTTGTTTAAACTGAAACAAAGGTGCTTGTAGCATTTAATAAATGGACCCAAACAGACACTCAAATGCCGTGACATCAGCTCTCAAAACTTGGCAGAAATAGCATATTTCCGGATTCACACCGCTGAGAACTGCTCGTTAATTAATAACGCTGATATTTTTTACTGGCAAAAATTAGTCAGTAACAGTTATTTTGAGATTAATAGCCATCTTTAAAGTATGCTGCCTGAAAATCAGCTAATAATTTAGGAACAATATAGGAAAGCATTCCACGAGAAAATAATGGTGTTACCTTTTTGCAGCAGGTGATTTCAACTAAAAAAAATAAAAAAAAATGAACGAAAATAAACTGAAACGCTGCTTCCCTATCTGACTTTGACTGCTTTGTTGACTTTTCTCTCCTCAGTAATTTGCGTAGAATTTTCTATCGCAAAAACATAATTACTCAAAACTGATCTGCTTTTAGGCAGTGCTAATAGTGCCAAATTTTTTAGTCATAGTCATCAAAGATTTTTTAAACACAGCAATTGCTCTTTAGTTGGAAGAAATATACACATTTGAAACTTCTTTATTTTACTCCTACTCCTTTGTTTTCCATTAAAATTACCTAACGGCATCATTTTAAAATAACATTATCAGAGTCACAAGCACCTATGGCATCTTAGAAACAGTCTTACAATGACAAAGGAAACCATAATTAATTGATTATATTCAGACATTATGATATTATTATAGCAAATTTCTTTCTTTTCAACAGCCTACCACAGAGGAGAAATGAGGAAGAGCAAATGTGATTGGAGAGGGCAATAAATATCAAAAATTTTATCCTTATTAACCCCTATAATTAAAAATCCTAAATATAAGATCTTGAGTTTCAGTAAAATAG